TGAAGGTCAAAATCAACATAAACACCTCAAAAAATCATATAAAAATACAAATGACTGCTGCAACTGAAAAAAAAACATTTGAAATAAATTATTCGTGTAATGCATATTTAAGTTTCATCAGAGGAAATCTCCTTTTTCCTTAAACCTTTCCATTCCTCTTACAAGCAAATACCGTTAAGAGTAAGCTTACTTTTGCCTTACATGTTTCTAGTATTGGGGAAGTAGAACCATGTAATAATCTTAAAAACATCAGGTTTTTTTCTTTGACTAGGGAATATCCGAAGTGTTATTAATTTAAATTCCATCCATCAGACATACTTTAGGAATCCATTTTGTAGATGACAGCTTCTTCTGCAGAAAGGAATTTTTTTTCAGAGTCAATTCCCCAGTTACATCTTAAATTTTTTAAGAAAGGCATTACAACGTTACTAGCACATTCCAGGTCTTCAGCCTTGACACTTGTACTGAAAAGCAAAACACACTATTGGATATACGTGTGTGTACACACACAAGCACACGCTAACATGAAGCAGTCAGTAGCTTAAAAGTGGCTACCTCCCCTTGAAAAATAAAAATATAAAATGTCACCCCTCCATTTTGCCCTTTGAATGAGAGAGAAGACAACCAGGTTTGCCCACTGCAGAGTGGGATACTAGAAAAGACGTTTTAACGTCTAACCTGAGACATTGTTAACATACAAATCCTAGGTCCCGACTCGGATGACTTAAATTTCAGTGCATGGGCCTTCGTTCCCCATCCTGCCCCATCAACACCATCCAGGGCCCGGGGCCCGGCCGCGCGACCACCCGGAGCGTCGGGACTGCCGGAATCCGCGAGTACCGCCCGCTCCGGGCAACACGGCTCCCCGGTTCGCGGCCGACCACGAGTTCCCGGAGCAGGGACCTCCGGGGACCCCAAAGCCCACGACTCAGACGAGGGTTCCCGACGGGGCCGTGGACTGTGACATTTAAAAACTACTAAAAAAGTCTCGCTGTACAAGTGGCGCGGCAGAGAACCTTGCTGCCGTTCCGCGTCGCCCGGTTCCTGTCCCCTCGGAGCGGGCCGGGCAGCCCAGGCGACCCTCCGCGAGATCGCACTCAGCTCCCGAGAGCGTAGAAGAGCCACCAAAGCCATCAAGACGCCGCGGCAAGTCCCCGGAAAAGTCAGCCGCAGCTTTCCCTTCTCCCCTTAGTTACAATTACTCCTGCGGCTTCTGGCGTTTCCTTCGAGAAAATGAAAAAAGTAAAAGAGGTGCTAGAAGTCGCTGACAATTTCTGTCGAACGAGATCCCCCTCGGCTCCATCACTTAAGCAGGATTTCCAAAGTCGGATGCATCCTCAGCGGAGGTATTCCATGTTGACAGATCTCTCGCCTCCCACAAAATGGGGCCGAGGAGGCGGCCGCTGTCTCCTCTATGGGCGCCGCCATTTTGTGAGGCGGCGGCGGCGGCGCGGCGGCAGGAGCCCGGGGTGTGTGTAATGGTTGAATAGAATGACCCCCTCTAGGGAATCCCCGGCGCTGACAGTTACGTAAGGGGCTGTGCCCAAGTGCGGCGTTTAGGGAATCCGCACAGCCCAGGCCACGCAGCTCTGCGGCCCACATCTCCACCACCCCTAAGAGGACCGGTTGGGGAAGGGACAAATGACCAGGTCTCCCTCCTACCCCGCCCCCCTCGCCTCCGGCCGGGGCCGGCATCTCCACTCCCCCGGACAGGTCTCCGCCCCTCACAGGCTTCCGAGACATTCACTGGCCCTTGGGTGTCAGGAACCTCCTAGCCACACAGCCTTATTCCGACCCCACTTAAAAGATAAACTTTACTTGGGAAATAAATCCGTTTCCTAGAGTGAGAGCCGGAAGCAGGCTGGACTATGTTACATAATTTCTTTTCAGCACCAAATAAATGTTCCCATTGGAACCACTACCTGAAATAATAACCCATCCAGACATTTTACTAGCCTGTGACCTTGGATTAGTCAGTGACTTTGCCCGTAGTGGCCATCCATAAAATGGGAATAATATGTTTCACATATTGTGAAGGATAATTAACACGGTAGCGAAGACCCGACTCCAGTACCCCTTGCAAACTTAGAAGGTACAATGTAATATTTGCTGAGATGTTCAGTCTCCCATTTAAGGAGCCTTTTTTCAACCTTCAAAAATATTTAAACGAGGATCGCATTTAAGACAATTGACAGAAAGTAAGGAAAAACAAGTTCAATATTTAAGCGCATCTATCTTTTAAGATACCTTAATATAAAAATATAAACGTTATTGTGAAAGTTCAAAAGATTGCTTCCCAGTTTAATTACCGTTTGCATAACTCAGCATCGAATAGTCTGAGACCACAGGCAAGATGAATTAAGAGCATTACTCGATTTCCACAGAATTAGGACAGTTCACATCGTATTTAATTTATAGTTTGCTAAAGTTAGTTTGTGGATAATGTATGGAAAATGTGTTAACCAGGCCCCAAAATACCAGCACAAGGCTCAGAAAAGCTGATTTCTTTACACCTTAAAAAAAAAAAAAGCTAACAAATTGACTTTATTCCAATCTGTGAATGATGCGTAGCGTGAGGAGCTAGCTGCCCCTCTGAGCTCCCTTTCCCTCCCGAGCGCCACACCGGTTCTGTCGGGCGGGCAGGGGACTCCCAGGCAGCCGTTCCAACAGCCGGGCCAAGGACGCGAACATTGCCTCCACCCCTAACCCTGGAACAACCGGTAGTGGCCGTTTCCCCGCGCCGCCCCCCTTTCCGCCGGCTTTGTGTGCGTGTGAAATGTGCGGCACATTGCAGATGAACCCTAAACCCGGAGCCGAGTCTATTGTTCCCCGCGAGGAGCTGCCGGGGCGGTGTGGAGCCAGGCGCAGTGCCGCGGCCGGCCCTCGGGGGTCGCTGCGCGGCGCTGGCAGGCCGGCCGGCCGTGGCGGCGGCAGAGAGGGAGGCTGGCGGGGAGGGAAGCGGGCAGGCGGCGCGCAGCGGCTCGGCTGCCGCCAGTGCCTTCTGCCCGGGGACGCCCCGGCCGAGGCCGCGCGTGAATGTGTGCGAGAGCCCCGCGGAGCTGCGGCCGGAATACACGCTGTCACCCTGCTTTCCACAAACCACCACACAGACCTCCCCCTCCCCACCCCCAG